GGCTCCCTGCTCGGCAGGAAGCCTGCTTCTCCCTCTCCCACTCCCCCTGCTTGTGTTCCTGATCTCTCTCTCTGTCAAATAAATAAATAAAATCTTTAAAAAAAAAACAAAGTCTGCCTCTGGCCCCTGACTTGCCCACACCCCCTACTCCAAGGCCCCTTCTTGGCGCCTGCTCTTCCGTTCATGGGTGGGAAACTCAAGCCCACCTCACTGCCTTGTGCACCCAGAGCCTCTCTGTCTTCTTCTCAGGCTGAAAGCTGGCAATACTCGATCCAGCCCGTTCCAGAAAGCCCTTCATCAATAAAGCTGATACACAGATGGGTATTTGTCTCACCTTTCTTGAATCTGTTGAATAGCCCAGAGGGAAGGAGGGCTGTTTCAGGCAGTATTTCAGAGTGCTTAGCATTTCATAGCAAATGGTACTGACATATTAAGAAGGTTCTTTGAGGGTCCATGGCGGGTCCTCCTGCTCCAACACTGTGCACTGAAGTCCAACATTATTTGGATCAGTAGTTCTCAAGGACGGCGCCACTGCCCTCTAGGGGAGGCTTGGAAAATCTAAGAGGGGGTTTTAGGTTGTCACCATGATGGAGGGACACTACAGTAGTTCCCCTTAGCCTCAGGGGCTACACGCCAAGCCCCCCAGGGGATGCCTGAAACCACAGATAGTACCAAACCCTACATATACTATATTTTTTCCTATACACACATACCTATGATAAAGTTCCTAATTTATAAATTAGGCACGGTAGGAGATTAACAATAATAACTAAGAATAAAATAGAACAACTCTAACAATATACTGTAACAAAAGTTATATGAACCTGGTTTCTCTCTGTCTCTAAAATATTTTACTATACTTACCCTTCTTGTGATAACAGAAGATGATGATAAAACGCTTACATATGAGATAAATGAAGTAGGCATGGTGACAGCATCAGGCTAGCACTGACCTTCCGCAGATAGGTCAGGGGGCGGATCCTCTGCTTCTGGGTCACAGCTGACCACGGGAAAGTGAGACCTAAGCGGAGACTACTGTACCAGCATCTAGCAGAAGCAGGAAAGACGTGGACACTCTGCCATGTGCAGTGCTGTCCTGGGCAATGAAGCGTTCTGTGCCCCTCGTGACTTCTAAATATTGCACTAGTCATACATATAGGTTAAAAAAAAACTACTTATGATATACATTTACACATATATGTGCATTTGTACATATCTGTGCATACGTACGTGTGTATATTTCTTAATTAAATATCAGTAGGTACAAAGAAAAATATGGACAAATATCCCCACCAAACTACTAGGAGCGCTATATTGGCTGGTTTTGGGTAAGGTCATATGGATGTTTAATAACTCGGTTATGACATTTCTATTTTGTTCCAAGTTTTTATAAGAACGTATTAGTTTTACAATTGGAAAAAACAAGTTAACCAAAAAAATGGGCACAATTTGTTAAAACAATTTACAAGAAAAATCCTGTCCTAAAGATATGATATTTTAGAAATAAGTTTACTATATATTCATCTAGTAAAGTTAGGTTACCCAGAGAATCTGCTTATAAATTTCTGAGCCTAGAAACTAAACTGCTTTGTAGATAAATACAACCCGTGTTTCTGCATGGTTTTAAAGTGCACAGAATTTTCCAGGAATTCAGTTAGTACGAAAGTGGAAAGGAGAGTGTGAGGAATCATTTACCATTTAGGAAAATCCAGGCACTGGTGTCAACATTGCTCGTGGTACGCAAGTCGCCGATACAACAGACGTGCGTCGGTCACTCAGCACTCGAGGCCATGACATTGGCAGAGATTCTGAGTGTCGGGGTCTGCAGCTAACTATTTCATTACGTCCTCATGCGCAGGCACACTGACCCCTCCCTCTCCTTTCACTTCTCTTACATTTCCACCAGGGTGTACATTTGATTTCTAAATTTTCACATGTAGGTGGGTTAGATGATATCTGAACGGCACGTCAGGGCACCAAAGGGGGCAATTTCGCGACAGAAAGGGCCCGTTGGGACTGACGGGGCTGAGAGCCATGGCCTTCACCCCTCAGATCACAAGGCAAGGTGCCTCCATCGACTCGGACCTCCAGGCCCTTGCCTGCACTTTCCAGTCTCTCAGCAGCCATAGCAGAGGAAGTTTGGAGAAGGACTGTGCTTGTCACAGCACATGATGACAGCTCTAACTCTGTGTAAAACAGGATCTTCGTCTCTCTGGGGTGGGGCGGGGGTCAGCAAGGGACTTCCACCCTCCCCCCACACCATCTGCGAGAAGGAAGAAAGCCATGTGTCAGCAGCAGGACGGAGGCGGAACTGGGCTGCGCTACTTACAGAGGTCTTCGGTGGCCGTGGGCACGAAGGCAGCCATGGACTCATAGAGCTCCTCGTCGCAGCCGGGGTTGAGGGAACACTTCATGAGCAGGTCTGTGGAGAGGTGGGCCATGGACTCGTACATGGTGTCAGCCTCCTCCCCTTGCATCAGTTCCTCTTTGATGTGACTCTTCAGCATGTCCACAGTTTCCTGAAAGGGAAAACGGGACTCACAGGCGCCCAGGGACACTCTGGCCTTCTGGGTAGAGCGAGGCCTTCGGTGCACTTGGGACAGGCAAAGAGGAAAGGTTCACACAGGTCAGCGTTCAGCTGTCCCACCAGCCCGAAAGCTCCTGGAGGCCAGGCTCCGAGTCTTTGTCTGTTTGTTTTCTGTGTTTTGTTTTAATCTTTGTATATTCTCCCAATGCTCAGCACAGGGTCATGCACACAAGAGACGGGCATTAAATGTCCAATGAGCATAGGGTACAAATTAACGACCTTCTCATGAGCTCCTCCTATGGGTCAGATACGATGCCAGGTGTTTGCCTACACATTACCTCACATCATCCTTTCCACAGCTGCTTGAGAAAGCTGCGATATTCCCTAGCTCACACATGAGAAAACCACAGCTCAGAAAACCCTAGTGCCTTACTCAAGGGCGTGCAATCCTGCCTTCTGACCTTTCTACTCCACCTCGGTTCCTCCAAAGGAAACAATTGATCCCCAAGGCTATAACCCTTACTGACCAACCAGAGGGAAATCCAAATGGGCTAAAGAGGGCTGCAGCTAAGATGTTCTTGCCCTGATGTGTAGTCAGACGGCTCTCAGAAGCCCACTGCCTAGTCCCTGTTCCTTCCAGCAGGCTGCTCGCCAGCGCCTCCCTTGGTTTCACACGCTGCGTGCCAAGAGGAGAGAGGGCCTTGGCGGAAGTGACCCGCAGTAGGACAGGCTGCCCCTCTCCTTCTGCCTCCCTGTGGTGGTGAAGCCAGAAAGCTGGCCTCTCTGAAACCCTGCACAACTTTTCCTGGTAAGAAACTTCAGTGTTTCACAATCCTTATTTCAGCATCAACCTGCAAAAATCCTCATTTTCATCATCACTACCTCAAGAGAGCTAATCTGCTATTGACACAAAGTGTTGGTTTCCTGATGAGACTGGCCCAGGTGACAGCTGTGAAGTGCTGGGAGACTCAAGGTCTGGCATTTGGTTTCGATGTGCTGGAAAGAGGAAACGGGACAGTTCCTAGAGGTCACAAAAACATGCAGGGACCTTTTGGTAGCAATGCTGAAGATGCACTGGCTGAAGGTGATTATGGCTGGAGAACTGGACTGATTTCGGTGCAAACTGAAAAGCCATCATTCCACTTCCCTGTTACGTAAAGTAAAATAACAAGCCCCAGCACCCGCATCAAACTAGGTTCCCGTCCTATCTCCACCCTTGCTAGAGTGCGACCCGGGCACAACTATTCCACCTTCCCAAGCCCTTCTCCTCCTTTGTTACAGACAGATAACAATACTATCAACCTCCAAGGATTGTGGTGAGCATTAAGTGAATCATGGCATTTACTAATCAAATAAATTCAATAAACAGTAGTCACAACTGTGAACACAGTATGTCCCCAATAAAAACTACTGGCGTAGAAATGATACGCTGCATTTTACACATCTGTGCCTTCAGAGTAAAGCTGAGTAAATACTCCTGGACGGTGAGCACCTTTCAGCCTCATTTATGTCAGGGATGCCCAAAACAGACACTCATGCTATTCTACTCATTCAACACACTTAATCACCCCCAAACTGTGGGGAGCCCCCTCCATGCCTCAGCGAGTCACTGCCTTGCAGACTGTCAAATACAGAGCTCAGAGTTAAGTTTTTGGGAGGTGTAGGCTCACTCCTGTATGGAGATAGAGAGCAAGACTAGATGGTCTTTGTGGTTCCTTTTGAGGTCTCAGCTCCACGAGAGAGGCTGAGAGTCCCCACTGTGACTCGTGAAGATGAAGGAAAACCAGAAAAGGGTGGAGTCAGGAAGGGCAGGGGTCTCCAAGACAAGAGAAGCGATACTGGGGCATGGAGCAAAGCCTAGGCACGGGATGAGATTACACTCAAAGAAGTTCCCAGAAGTCAATGATCAAGGAGGACCTGGGGGGTCCAAAACCAGATGAGCAAATAAACTGGGCATCTCTCTCTTAAGATCAGCAGAAGCTCAGAAAGAGACAGGCCATTAGCCTAAAGGGGAACCTTCCAGTTGGGCTCTGGGAAGCCTCAAGTGCACAGCTTCGTTGTGGTCTCTGCTAAGGAAGGAACCAATCCTAACAGTTCACATGGACCTGACAGTGGGGGTGGCAGCTGGAAGCATCCCACCAAAGTGCCTTGGAGATGGAGGTGGGGTGGGGAAGAGGGGTCAGCATCAACCTGCAGCAGATGCACTCTTCAAATGTCTCTCTAAATTCTTTCAAGGTGGACCTCAGTGCTTTACAGACATTATTTCCTTTTATCCTGAAAACCACCCTATGAGCAGAACTAGCATTACCTTCCTTCTGCACTTTAGGAAACTAAAAGAAACAAGGTATGTGATTTGTCCAAAATCACGTGGCTGACAAGCGTTGGCCCAGGAATGTGGACCCAGGTCCATGGGACTCCAGGGCGCATCTCTTTTTTTTTTTTTTTTTAAAGATTTT